TGAGCCACACATCTCATGCAACCACCGCGCCGACCACGGCAGTAGAAGGCCAAGATGAGGACGTGTCCAGTTATGGAGATGGAGGAGGTGGAAGAGATCGGGCGATGGAGAGGATGGCGGAGCAATTGCGGCGGAGCAATTGCGCCAGTTACAGGACAAGGTGGAAGGAAGGCCGGAAAGGAGGGCTCGAGGACATCCGTTCTCGAGGGAGATTCTCGCAGCCCCCTTGCCAAATAATTTCGAGGAGACTAATCTGGTTTATGATGGGTCATCTGACCCGTCAAGGCATGTGAGGACCTTTGAGAACATGGTTGTATTGCATGGGTATTCTGATTCTGTATGTTGCAGGGCATTTCTATCGACCTTGCGTGGGGGAACACTTGACTGGTTTCATCAATTACCCCCGGGGTCGATCGCAGACTTTGCGGATTTTGCCAGCAAGCTTACCAATCAATATTCGAGCGCGGTGGCGCAGGAGAAGACATACTTGACGCTGATGGCGATGAGGCAGGGAGAGAAGAAGTCGTTGAGGAAGTATGTTGCTCGATATAATCGAACATGTCTGGAGGTGCACTCCGCCTCGGATGAGGTGAAAGCAGGAGGATTGATACGGAGTCTTCGAGCGGGGCCTTGTCGAACCTCCCTGGCAAAGACCCCTGCTCGATCATATGAGGACGTTCTGAAGCGATGCAGGAAATATATTAATTTGGAGGAGATGGAGATGGAGTTTGCAAAGCTGGAAGGGGCGGATCGACCAGAGCCAAAGAAAGAGAAGAGCCCACAAAGGGGAAGGTCGCCAAGGAGGAGCTCGCCCAAGAGGAGTGGGCCGAAAAAAGCATCGCCCAGGAGAGAAAGTCGAGATTCAAAAAGGGAGAAGAGGGACGAATGGCAGAGGAGGCCGATGTTGTTCGAAAAACAGAGATATCATAATTTTACACCCTTGAGGAAAGATTTGACAGAGGTGCTCGAGGCTATGGAGCAGAAGATGTCGAGCGAGGATGTGACGTGGCCGAAGACAAGGTCTACAGGCCCGATTCGACCCAGGTCGGATATCTATTGTCGTTTCCACCGAGATTACGGCCATACCACGGAGAACTGTACGCATTTGAAGGACGAAATTGAAAGGTTAATTCGGGCAGGGCACCTGAAGGAGTTTGTATATCATGATCGGACGAAAGAAAAAAGAAGGAGAAGGTGTCGAGAGGAATCTGAGGAGAGAAGTGATAAAGATGAGGAGGGTGATGATATAGATGGGCGAGATGGTAGAGGAAAGAGGCCGAAGAGAGATGGAGATAAAGGAGGTCAGGGAGGAGAAGCCTCGTTGAAGAGAGGGACGATTAATATGATTTCTGGAGGGCCGACTGATGGCGACTCGAATCACGCCAGGAAGGAGCATGCTCGAGCTATGAAGAGAAAACGAGAGGAGGTGGGGATTACGGCTCGAATGCCGGTGATAAGTTTTAAGGCGGAGGATGCTGAGGGAGTGGTCTTGCCACACAACGACGCTCTGGTGATTATTGTGGAGGTGGCGGGATTTGATGTGAAGAGGGTATTCATTGATACCGGGAGTTCGGTGGACGTGATGTTCTATGATTGTTTTGTGCAGATTAATAAGGAACTGAACATGGAGTTGAAACCAGTGGCCACGGCGTTATATGGCTTTAACGGGGGAGAGGTTATGCCGATGGGGGAGATCAGTCTGCCCGTGGCACTGGGATCAGGGGTGATGAGGAAAGTTCGGATGGTGAGGTTTGTGGTCGTCGGGGCTGAGTCGTCTTACAACATTATAATGGGGAGAACAAGCTTGAATGCATTCCAGGCGGTCGTATCCATGTACCACATGACGATCAAATATCCTGTGGGCGAAAACGTTGGAGAGATTGCTGGAGATCAACTTACCTCGAGGAGCTGCTACCAAACTACGGTGAGCAACAACAAACAACTAGCGAAGAAGCGGGCTAGGCCAAAAGAAAAGGAGGTTAATCGACCAGGTGGGTCGAGGTCGAAAAAAGATAGGCAGAGGTCGAAGAAGGGAAAAGAGAAGGTGGATATCCGGCCAGGGGTAAGGATGGCAGCGGTTCGGGTTCGGATCGGATGGAACCTCAGGGCACCCAAAACCAAATCCCAAACTTAAAAACCAAAACCAAAACCAAAACTGTTTCGGGTGAAAATCCTTCACCAAAACCAAAACACGCGGATACCCAAAAACCAAACGGATACCCAAAAAACCAAAAATATTATAATAAAACACCAAAGACAACAACATAAAACATGATAACTTAGAGAGTACCAGGCAACCAGTCACAAATTAGCAAGTACCAACGTACAGTACAAGCCATAAAGGTAGTAGAGTACATAGCTAAGCCAAGCCATCACGGGAGACGGGGAGAGGATAAGAGGGAGAGGAAATTTCCACTTATATAGCTAGGGTTTTTGGTGGGCTTTTTGATGGGCCGTCTATTTTGGGCACCCAATGGAGCACCGGGCGAAATATAGGATCCGCACCAAAACCGAAGACTTTCGGGTACCCGAAACCGCAAAACCGTGGGTGAAATTTGAGAACCAAAACTGAAAACCGCAGAACCAAAAACCGCGGATATCCAAACCGAAACCGAACCGCTGCCATCCCTAGCCAGGGGAGGAGGTCGAGGAAGTTCACATGATCGAGGGATGTGAGGAGAGGACGTTCAGAATTGGGAAGGACCTGGAGGAGCCCATCCGATCGAGGTTGATTTGCCTGGTTAGAGAGTTTGCGGATATTTTTGCATATACAACGGAGAAGTTGACGGGAATAAATGCGGAGGTGATTGAACACCGGCTGAACATCGACCTCAGCGTGAGGCCGGTGAGGCAAAAAAGGAGACACCATGGAGCGGAGATGGATAAAATTATCGAGCAAGAGGTTGAGAAGCTGTTGAAAGCAGGGCACATCAAGGAGATTCAGTTCCCATAATGGTTATCAAATACAGTGACGGTGTCAAAGGTGGAGGGAAAGTGGAGAATGTGCATCGACTTCCGTGATCTGAACAAAGCATGCCCGAAGGATCTGTACCCGTTACCTAGAATCAACCAGTTGGTCGACTCGACGGCTGGTGTGAATTGTTGAGCTTGATGGATGCTTCCCAAGGATACCACCAAATTCCCTTGGCAAAAGAAGATAGAAAACGGGTGAGTTTTGTGATGAGTCGGGGAACCTATTGTTATATGGTGATGCCGTTCGGCTTGAAAAACGCTGGCGCCACGTATCAAAGGTTGGTCGATAAAATTTTCAAAGAACAGCTGGGGAGAAACATGGAGGTATACGTGGACGATATGTTAGTGAAAAGCAAAGAAGAAATGGACCATGTGCGAGATTTGAAGGAAACGTTCTTGACTTTGAGGAGGTACGGGATGAAGTTGAATCCAGCTAAGTGTTCGTTCGGAGTAAAGTCGGGGAAATTCTTGGGTTACTTGGTGACCAAGAGAGGTATCGAGGTAAACTCGGAGAAAGTGTAGGCGGTGATGGAGATGCAGTCGCCGGCGAATGTTAAGGAGGTACAAATCTTGGCTGGTCGAATCGCGGGGCTGAGTCGTTTCATATCGAAGGTGGCGGAAAAAAGTGGCTCGTTGTTTAAAATATTGAAGAAGAGTGCGAAATTTCAATGGACGGAGGAGGCGCAGAGGGCATTTGAGGAGTTGCGAGGGGTGTTAGCCAACCTTCCCTTATTGGCTAAACCCATACAGGGCGAGGAGCTGGTGCTGTACATTTCTATTGGAGAGAGAGCTGTAAGTTCGGTGTTGTTGCGGGAGGAAGGGGCAGCACAATTTCCCATCTATTATGTGAGTAGGGTGATGCAGGGGGCAGAGATGAGGTATTCGGAGATCGAGAAGTGTGCTTTGGCCGTGGTCGTAACTGCTCAAAAGTTGAGACCTTATTTCTTGAACCATAAGGTGAAGGTGCGAACAAACATGCCGTTGGGAGAAACACTTGGCCGACCATCGGTCTCTGGTCGATTGGTGAAATGGGCGGTCGAGTTGAGTGAATATTCTCTGTTGTATGAGCTGAGGAGGGCCATAAAGGCACATGTGTTGGCCGATTTCATCCAGGAAGGCACAAAAGTTGAGGAGGAGTCAAGAGGAATATGGCAGTTGTTTGTGGATGGATTAGTGGCACAAATGGGGCAGGATTGGAAATTGTCCTTGTCTCTCCTAAGGGCGATTACTTGGAATTTGTGGCTAAAGTAGGGTTCAAGATATCCAACAACGAGGCCGAATATGAGGCAGTAATCAAAGGCTTGAATTTAGCCAAAGCGGGAGGACCCCGAAAAGTACAAGTGCATTCTGATTCTCAACTGGTGGTCGGGCAGTTTCAAGAGGGGTTTGATGTTAAGGAGGACCGGATGCAGAAGTATGTAGATGAGATGAAGAAGTTGAAAGAGGAGTTTGACTCATTCGAGCTAATACAAATTCCCCGAGGAGAAAATGGTCGGGCAGACCTGTTATCGAAAATTGCTCAAAACTTGTTGGATTGTAAGAGCAGAAGTGTCACTCTATTGCATCTCGAAAAGAGTGTGGTCGAAGCGTAAGTGGCGGAGATTGAGGAAGTGGAGGATTGGAGGGCTCCGATCTTAGAGGAGCTGAAAGTGGGAACGATAAAAGTAGTGAGGAGATTTTTTGAGCACAGAGGCATTCTCTACAAACGGTCGTACGCGGGACCGCATTTGCGTTGTGTTACTAAGGAGGAAGGTCGATATGTGCTGAGAGAAATGCACGAAGGATGCTGCAGTGAACATATTAAGTCAGGAGCCTTGGTTGCAAAGATTTTGAGGGCAGGATATTTCTGGCCGACGATGAGGGAGGATGCGAAGGTGATGGTGAAGAAATGCTTACAATGCCAAAAGCATGGCCCCCTTATTCATCAACCGGTAGAAGCAATGACAACGATGAGTGCCCCTATACCATTCGCCCAGTGGGGTATCGACCTGGTGGGGCCGATGCCTCAGGGGACGGAGAAGTGGAAGTTCTTGATAGTGGCAGTGGATTATTTCACAAAGTGGGTGGAGGCCGAGCCCTTGGCGAAAATCACGGAGGAGAAAGTAATTAAATTTCTATACAACAACATTTGCTGCAGGTTCGGCATACCCAAAGTATTGATTTCCGACAATAGTACTCAGTTCAACGGCAAGCGGATTCGAGCGTGGTGTGAAGACATGAAAATCGAGCAACACTTTGCTTCTGTTGCTCATCCGCAAGCCAATGGCCAGGTCGAAGTAACCAACCGAATTATACTGAATGGGCTAAAAACAAAGCTGGAAAAAGCCTCGGGGGCATGGGTCGATGAGTTGAGCTCGGTACTTTGGGCGTATCGCACAACCCCGAGGTCGACAACAGGAGAAACCCCCTTCAGTTTAGCTTATGGAATGGAAGCCTTGCTGCCGGTCGAGGTCGAACTATCATCCCAGAGGTCGAGCACATACAATACTGAGCAGAACGAGGACCTAATGATGGCGGCCTTGGATACTATTGAGGAGCTGCGTGGAAGAGCAGCAATCAGGGTGGAGGCATACAAGCAAAGGATGCGAGCCGCTTATTACAAAAAGGTGAAAATTCGCAGACTCCAAGTAGGCGACCTGGTTTGGAAACGTGTCGACGTGCTCAAGCATGTGGGAAAACTAGAACCAAACTGGGAGGGACCATACTTGGTCGACCGAGTGCATGTAGGAGGAGCGTACTCGCTAAAGGATGCAGAAGGCCGATCGCTTGACAGGTCATGGAACATAGCTAATTTGAAAAAATATTATGTGTAGATTTTTTCTTTTCTTCACTTTTTGCAAAGAAATCCGGGGAGTGCGAACAAAGTTGTAATTTGCAAAATTTGCTTGAGAAAGTTAATGAAATTCAGTTATCCTTTCATATCACTTGTTGTATTGCACATTTTCTTATGCTTGGAATATTGGTATGGTTGGATGACAGGAGGAATATGATGTGGTCTAGCTTGGAGGTTGCTTGTTTAGAACATCCCTTGGGGTGGGCAGGTTGGTCGAATACTCACGCCCTCGGGCTGGGTGGCCTCTTGTTTAGAACATTCCTCGCGGGTGGGCAAGTGTGAAGACCAAAACCCACCATGACTAAGGCCCTCGGGCTGGGTGGTCGCTTGCTTAGAACATTCCTTAGGGTGGGCAGGTTGGTCGAATTCTCACGCCCTCGGGCTGGGTGGCCTCCTGTTTAGAACATTCCTCGCGGGTGGGCAAGTGTGAAGACCAAAACCCACCATGACTAAGGCCCTCGGGCTGGGTGGTCGCTTGCTTAGAACATCCCTTGGGGTGGGCAGGTTGGTCGATTACTCACGCCCTCGGGCTGGGTGGCCTCCTGTTTAGAACATTCTTCACGGGTGGGCAAGTGTGAACACCAAAACCCACCATGACTAAGGCCCTCGGGCTGTGTGGTCTCTTGTTTAGAATATCCCTTGGGGTGGGCAGATTCGTCGAATACTCATGCCCTCGGGCTGGGTGGCCTCCTATTTAGAACATTCCTCGCGGGTGGGCAAGTGTGAAGACCAAAACCCACCATGACTAAAGCCCTCGGGCTGGGTGGTCGCTTGCTTAGAACATCCCTTGGGGTGGGCAGGTCGGTCGATTACTCACGCCCTCGGGCTGGGTGGCCTCATGTTTAGAACATTCCTCGCCGGTGGGCAAGTGTGAAGACCAAAACCCACCATGACTATGGCCCTCGGGCTGGGTGGTCGCTTGTTTAGAACATCCCTTGGGGTGAGCAGGTTGGTCGATTACTCACGCCTCGGGCTGGGTGGCCTCCTGTTTAGAACATTCCTCACGGGTGGGCAAGTGTAAAGACCAAAACCCACCATGACTAAGGCCCTCGGGCTGGGTGGTCGCTTGCTTAGAACATCCCTTGGGTTGGGCAGGTTGGTCGAATACTCACGCCCTCGGGCTGGGTGGCCTCCTGTTTAGAACATTACTCGTGGGTGGAAAAGTGTGAAGACCAAAACCCACCATGACTAAGGCCCTCGGGCTGGGTGGTCGCTTGTTTAGAACATCCCTTGGGGTGGGCAGGTTGGTCGAATACTCACGCCCTCGGGCTGAGTGGCCTCCTGTTTAGAACATTCCTCGCGGATGGGCAAGTGTGAAGACCAAAACCCACCATGACTAAGGCCCTCGGGCTGGGTGGTCGCTTGCTTAGAACATCCCTTGGGGTGGGCAGGTTGGTCGAATACTCACGCCCTCGGTCTGGGTGGCCTCCTGTTTAGAACATTCCTCGCGGGTGGGCAAGTGTGAAGACCAACCCCACCATGATTAAGGCCCTCGGGCTGGGTGGTCGCTTTCTAAGAACATCCCTTGGGGTGGGCAGGTTGGTCGATTACTCATGCCCTCGGGCTGGGTGGCCTCCTATTTAGAACATTCCTCGCGGGTGGACAAGTGTGAAGACCAAAACCCACCATGACTAAGGCCCTCGAGCTGGGTGGTCGCTTGTTTAG